CTTTGGCCATATCATGAGAAGAGAAGACTCCCTGGAAAAGACCCTGATGTTTGGAAAGTGTGAGGGCAAGAGGAGAAGGGGATGACAGAGGACCAGATGGTTGATCAGTGTCAGTGAAGCAACCAACATGAATTTGACCAAACTCCGGGAGGCAGTGGAAGACAGGAGGGACTGGCATGCTCTGGTCCATGGGGTCATGAAGAGTTGGACACAACTTAACGACTGAACAACAACAACAAAAGATCCACTGAATCAATGAGCCAATTCCTCCATAAATTCCATTGATTCAAATAGGCCTAGTCTAATTGCAACTTACAATGCTAAGGTAAGTAACAGTTTGAGCAGGCCCATTTGAATCTATGGAACATATGAAGGGGTTGACTCACCAAATCCCCATTGATTCAGTGGGCCTCCTCTAATGCAAATTGTTATGCTAAACAATAAGACTTTAGCCACTGAATTCTCCATTCACCATGTCCCAGCTCCCGCCAACCTAGCGGTTCGAAAGCATGCAAATGCAAGTAGATCAATAGGGACCACCTCGGTGGGAAGGAAACAGTGTTCCGTGTCTAAGTCGCACTGGCCATGTGACCACGGAAGATTGTCTTCGGACAAAACGCTGGCTCTATGGTTTGGAAATGGGGATGAGCACTGCCCCCTAGAGTCGAACACGACTGGACAAAAATTGTCAAGGGGAACCTTTACCTTTACCTTTATATTAACACAGTGAGAGGAATTTTTGTGGGAGTTTAATTTGTAAAGTTTAAAACAGATTTAATCAGAGTTCGAGTATTGTCATGATTAGCACTGACAATCCTTTGGCACTAAAATAAACAAAAATTTCTGTTTCTAACATGCTGATTCAAATGTAACACTATGACACAGTGTTTTAGGTTGAGAGAATGTAGTAATGAAAGTGAGCTTGAGGCAAGGAAACAAAGTAAGTGAGGTGAAGGCAATGTCTTTCACATGACGAGAACAAAGTTATACAGAACAGACAACTCATTTTACAAGCAGCAGCAATGAGCAAAGACAAGCATGAACAAGAAAGATCATTATGGATAAATGAGAAAGCATTTCTTATTGAAGTGTGGATAAATGATTTAAAAAACTGAAATTGACATTTGTAAATAAAACAAGTCATCTATATAATATGCAACAGATGAAGTGAGCATTATTCCATTAATCTCCAATGTTCATGTTATTAGCAATTTAAACACACTTGAGAAATTACTGCTTTCATGCATAAGGCTACAGGAGCCTTGCTGATAACATTTAAAATTAGAGATGCATAGGAATTCACCTCTGACATTGCGTGACATGCCAAAACAATATTCTGTAGACTACTTCTAAGAGGAACAGCCTGTCCAAACAATAAGTTATAACTTCGGAACTGGTTCTTGAATCAATATCATATTTGGTAGAGTGACTGTAAATGATATGGGCTTTCTGTGTGCCAAATTTGGAGAAGATTAGAGATGCACTTTTAAACTTTTAACATTTTCAGTTTTTTTCCAATTTTTAATGTTTTAATGCATTAATATACAAGACACAATACATATAAACTTACTTAATGCATAAAAACAAAATATTAGTGCAACCCTTCCCCCTAGGGACCATTATATTTTACAGACTTATAACCATAAGTCCTTGTAAAAATACTGTATATATTCATTGCCCATTTCCCCCTTTATCTTTGCACAGTATAGCTTTATAAATTCTTCCCATATTTCATTAAACCTATTTGCCTTTATCTCTCTTTTTAAACTTAATTTCTGAAGAAAATGCATCATTAATTGCTATATTCCATACTTGTTATACCATTCCTGCAACTGAAATACCCAATTATGCTTCCAGTTTTTTGCTATAAGCAGTCAAGCTGCTGTTATCAGGTTCATTACCATTTTTTTCTTTTTTTCTTGTTTGCATTATTCACTTCACAATTTTTTTATCATCAACAACAGTGCTGTTTTTGGAACCATTTCAATGTTAGCTTCCAATAATTATCTAATTTTTTCAAAAACTTTAACCCATACTTTTTGTATAACCTCACAATTCCACCACGAATGAAAATATGTACTAATGTCTTTGCTACATTTCCAATATTTCTTAAAATATTTAGAGTTTATAGTATTTAATTTACCAGTGTTAAATACCACCTCCACAATGTTTTATAACCATTTTCTTTTCTCCATAACTGACATATTTTTAAAAGCCTTCTATTCCAATTACACACACACACACACACACACACACAACCCTC